TTTCAGAAACCCCCTAAACATCTCCAGAAGTTCATAGCCAACCAAAGTCCAAAAAGTATGGAAAAAGATGAGAAGGTATCCGTCCGGACCAGGAGCTTTATCACCTGGCAAGGAGAATACCGCTCGTTTTAATTCAACAAAAGAGACATCTTTTTCCAAAAAAGAAATCAAATCAGATGGAAGAGATCTAAAGCCCACGTTATGCAACCCAGGGGTAGCTAATCTCAGAGGAAAAAGCCTTTGGGAAATGTCTAATGGCAACATCAGACATACCAATATCGTCTTCTGGATCAATACCCTGAATCATAAGACCATACACATCATTCTGTTGAGTGCGAGCATTAGCAGTAGCATGGAAAACTTAGTATTCAAATCCCCTTCCTTTAACCATTTAGCACGAGATCTTTGCTTCCAATAAACCTCCTCAATCCTCCTAAGCTCTTGTAACTCCTGAGTATAAGAGCATCTTTCAGCAATTATCTCATCTGATAAAACAATATAACTTTGCACAACAGAATCCACCATCTCAATTTTACTCAAGACTTCTTCAATTTTTCTTATGATATTAGACACCTCTTTTTTCCAAGCAAGCAGCTCGTGTTTAATATTCAGAAGCTTCTTGTGAAGTTGAAAGTCCAGAGATCCAAAGGAGATAGTATTCTCCCAAGTAGTCTTGACAATATCAACCACGTCTGTCTCCTGAAGCCAACCTATTTCTAATCTAAAAGGTTTTGGACCCTTAGAGAGAACTTTTGAGCACAACAGAATAGGGGTATGATTGAAGGAAAGTTGAGGTAAGGCTTTAATCGAAGCCAAAGGGAAGCACTCAGACCAGTCACCAGAAACCAGGAATCTATCGAGATTAGACATTGATAGATTTACAGAACTTCCATTGGTTCAAGTATAGACAGTGCCCGAAATTGGCAGCTCAATCAAGGCAAAGGCCTCAATAAACCTATTAAATAAATTCATAGTAGCAGTAATCGACCCACCATGATTGCATTCATCCGGCCATCTAGTAAAATTAAAATCCCCTCCTAAACAAATCGGAAAATCAATCGAATTAAGAGCATCTGACATCTCATTGACAAAAACTTCTTTAAGAGCATGAGTTTGAGGACCATAAGCATTCATTAAGCCCTATTTAAAGTCAGGAAAATGACCCATAAAACCAACCAACAAAAAGTTTGTTTTTTCCAACACAGAAAAAGAATGAAGAACATAAGGATCCCAAATAATCCAAAGACCTCCAGAAGCTCCAACATAAGCCACCCCCACAAAATTCACAGAACCAAGACCCCAAACTTCCCTAACCCCAGACAAGGTGGGGCAGGGAAGTTTAGTTTTCTGTAATAACAGAACTGTTGGTCTAAATTTAGAAACAAAAAATTGTGTGTCCTTTTTACTTTTGAGGTCACCCAGACCTTTAACATTTCAAGAAATAACAATCATTTAAAAAGGATTAGCAGAGGAAAAACATGGGCCCTCCCGCTAGCATTGAAATAAACTTCTTCCAGAATCCTTGCTTCAACAAGACTATCTCCGAGCATCCCATCACCGGTCGATGAATCTAAGCTAACATCGATCACATGGTCATCCGAGATGACGACTCCACGCGCAGCAGCATTAGTGGCATTACACCTCGAGAATTCAGTCTTGCTGAGGACCTTGTACCTTTAATGAACACTTTAGCTATGTTCTTCATCTTGCCCTTTGAGGCCGATGGAGTTTACTCCAAAGCTCCACCTGGCCCCTTGCACTCAGCAGCCTTAGCTTTCTTCTCAGCCTTTTTCTTTGCAACGATATCTTGAAAAACAACTCCAATAGGCACATTGAAGTCCATACCGCAGTCAAAAGCAATAGCACTAACCTTATTCAATTCAGGGTCAACCATAGCCTCTTCCTTCGAGATATCCTTACCAGTGTTAACTGGGTTATCAGCCACAAAATGAAGCAACAAAGAACAAGACTTCTGAGGGATAACATTGAGGGGATGGCGATCATCCGCAGTCACCAAGACAAGATGAGCCAATATTAGGAACGAATTCACCTTCTTCCAGCAACTGGGGCTCTGAACTCTCCTCGACTAACACAATCGCTAATGGATCCACCGTCAAAGGATGAAACGAAGGTCTCAGTGTGGATCGAAGTCGCCTAGCCGCACTGCGATGGCTAAGAGGGAACATGCTTCCAAGCAAAGACAGAAGCACAAGGGAGCCAACGAAGAAAGGCGGCGTTGACCCACAACCATAAGCACCAAGAGGAGGAAAAAGTTGCTGGCCTTGCAAAACTTTGGAGCAAAAGCTGTCTTTGAACCAGCATCCAAGAAGAAAGAGGGGGCACCGCCTTTGCCTACAACTCGCTATCCATCGCCAGCAAAAAATTTGAAAAGACTCCATGCAGGGAGACGCTGCCCTCAATCTGATTTTTCCCCAAAATTTGTTCTTCTGAAACTGTTGAGCCCGCTTGACCATTTTGGTTGTTAACGCCCACTACACTGTTACCAACTTTTGATGGAATAGGTGTCGGGATTTCCTCAAAATGCCCCACCAAAATCCATTTTTTGCGAATTTTCAAATTTTGAAATTTCGTAACTCCTTTCCTGAAATTCCAATGGCCACACATCTGCTGAAAATTCTGCTGAGCTGCCGGAAAAGAATTTTTTGGAGCACTCCAATCAACCTTAACCCTAGCACGATGGTGATGAACCACCTTCCATCCATCCTCAGTCACAGGTTGAGGGGCAACCGCAAGCATAAATGGCTTTTTCTCACCACCGGAGTGACTCCAATGGCAAAAGAATCTTGACCCACAACTAGTCTAACAACTTTGAGGATGGACGCCCCTCTGAGTTTCCATATACGAACTCTGACAGCTCTAACGGCAATCCCCACAAAGGAGTCTCTCTGTCAACATCACAAAATTCCCTATAGCAATTGGTAATCTTACAGACTGTATCCAATGACCAAACATGGAAGGGAATACCAGAAAGACTAATCCAAAGACTTTCTTTTTGCAAATAGGACAAATGAGAAGAAGGTTTCCATAAGCCCAAAGATAGCCTCGAATCCTAACAAACCTATTGCCTAGAGCAACCATGGCATCCTCCTTGGATCGCAGCAATAAACCTATCTTATTGTCTCCCACCATATTAACTATAGGAGCATAAGATAACCCCATCCCCTCCTAGCTCAGTCGCTCAAACTAAAAATATCGTTAGAAGGTGGGGAGAAAGAACCCACAACAGGAAACCCAGCCCCTGCAAGTAGGCCGGATGATAGATCGTACCTCACGTGAACAACTGAAGCTCCCAAACAATCAACCTCACTATCTACCTCGTCATCTTCTCCCCCAAACTCCTTCTCTGAATTGTGGTAATAATTTCTAATACTAATAATAAGCATTTTAAGAAATTGGCCGGGACCATACCGTCGAGAATGATTTCCGACTGATTTTTATTTTGATCAGTGATTCAAATAGAACTTTGCCAAACAGTAATACAAACCAAGGCCTTTAACCTAAGGAGACATATTTCCAAGGCATGTGAAAGAGAATGGAGCATAGAGATGTATGCATATCTTTCTCTCTCTTGAATTTGAGCATAACTTATAATTTCTGCATACTCTCTGTTTCTCTTCCATTTCTTCCTCTGCCCCTCTTTCTACCTTTAGAGTTAGGAACGTGTCCTACAACCTCTTTACAATTAGGGACCCTTTTTATTTTCGCGACATGTGTCCACCCCTTAACTCTTGTTTAATAATGTGGTATACAACCTCTTTACAATTAGAGACCCTTTTTATTTCACGACACTTGTCCATCCCTTAACTTTTACTTAATAATGTGGTATAAATACCATGTCCATCCCTTAACTTTACTTAATAATGTCGTATAGATACCACCTTGCCTTACTGGAATACGTAATATTGACATATTTCAAATTTAAAAATCCAACCAACCGCCCTCTCTTAAAACTCCACTTCATTTTTTAAGAAAATGTATGTAAATATATTTTTTATTTTTTAAGATCTACATATATTTTAATATTTTATATTTTAGGTTCAAGTGTCATTTTTCAAAGCATAGCTAGTATTTATTTTTATGATTTTTTTTATATATCAGATTTAAGCAATCATCATTGAAATAACCAATTTGACCCAAAACCCATTGGGGTGCGATCTAGTTGTAGAGAAGTCCGAAATTGGTTGATACCAAAAAATATTCAAGTTGTTATTCCTGTTGTAATTATTTTTTATAACTGTACACCATTTATAATCGGAAATCACCCTCAACTCGGACCCCATAATCGCCGGAATCAATTCCATGTGAATCTATGCTTCCATTTTAGCTCTTTTAAGTTTAATCACTTCTTCGACCAATTGGTCAAAAATTCATGTTTAATCGTACGAAGTAATTCCTATGAGGGACGTATGACATATAACACTTTGACAAGGCACTTTCTCATATATGGAAAACCGGCCAAGTCGACCTGGACCTAGCTAGGTTACCCAGAACCGGCTACTAACCATGGCCGGGTAGGGTGGTTAATATATATATAGATATATCTAACCCAAAAAAATAAAAAATTTGTTTGTAATAGATTTTTTAATGTTTTATTGTTTTGAAAAAGATTGGTAAGTATTTTCACTACAAATACTTATTTTTATCTTTTTTCTACTTTTAAAAATTATTTTTAAAATACCTCTAAACACAAATTGATTTTTCAAAATTTATTTATTTTTACAACATTTTTTAATCTCGTTGGATGTATTTTATTTAGTTATGCTTTTAAATATAATTTTCATATGTTTTGGGTTTTCTATTTTATTTTTTTAACCTTTTTTGTGCCTGGCCAGGACCTTTTGGTTAGGCCAAGTCACCCAGACCGGTAATGGCCAATGGCCAGTTTCCGTTCCCAAGTCATGCATATCATATAAAAATCCAACTAAAAAATATTAAATTATCCCAGCAAAAAGAAAAGAGACAGCTTCCAAGTCATAGAGAACCAAATAAAAGATTCACATCTCTTTCCTTTTAAAATGCATGGTCAATATTCAAAATGGGTAGTTAAAGATTCACAATGGCGAATCAGATCCTCCATATACGTCAAAATAAAGATAATTATCCCCTACTCAACTGCCCAAGCAAATAACAATTATTAAAATTAGAGAGAAAAGAAAAAAAATTAACTTTCATGAATAATAACAATATTGTGAGATAATTAATTGATTTTCGCTGTGCTCATATCCCATGCACTAAGCTTCGAAATGGTGATGGGGGCAGGCGCGTAATTAAAGGCATAGAGATGGGCATTCTCTCCCAAGGCTTTCACTGGATAAATCCTAGAAGATATGCACGTCTTCCCGCCTTCTCCGAAGCTCTCTACCACCGAGTGATCGATCTGCCACCGTCAGATTAAAGATTATTTCAAAGCAATTATCAACATATCACTTTCACACATTATGGAAATGTAATGTAATACAATGAGACAGGAAGGGGATTGGGGTCGTGGTAACCTACTCTAATTAACACTTTCAAGATGTAAGCCCTTAATTTATTGAAAAAAAAAAAACCGGTAGGAGTGAGAATTTTTCAGATTGAGTTTTGATCCGCCCAGACCTCAATCCGAATCCAAATAATATATATTAGATTCAGATCCGACCTGATCCTGAATATATAGATCCCGATCTGGTTCCAAATCAGGATCAAGATTTTCAAATGCCCCAAAACAAGCCCAAGGTCTAACTAGATAAATGAGATTAAAATGGAGCAAACATCAAAAAATCTACAGAGAGAATAATTGCGAAAAGTAAAGAGCTAGAGAGAATCGATCACATATTCAAAAAACCTGGTTTGCTTGGATTAGAACAATGGAGAAATCCCACGTGCATAGCGACCAATATCTCTAAACCAGAGAACGCCTTCTCTCCTTTCCTCTGCACCATTCCCACTATTGGGCCCCAAATCATTCAGAGAGAAACTTCGTCAAAGCACCAAACATCCATCGTCTCACCCCAAAAATCTCATGCCTGAACCAACCCATCGCTCTATTGGGCCTCACTCTTAAAGAGAGAAACTTCATAAAAACTCCAAAAAGGCCTCATTTAGTGCACATACCCTGAAAACCCACGAATCATTAACCCTTTCTTGCACTAAATCCAAGACCACCAGAGCTTTATTCCTTATTCCTTGGAGAATTAAAAAACCCACAAATTGGAACATGGAAACCTAGAATTTCACAGCACCCAAAAGCGACAGTTCAAAAATCGAAAGTTCAAGAGATAAAGGAAGAGAGATCCGACAGCTAGAACACCCCAAATGCTCAATTTCGAGGATCCATCAACAAAATGGGGTGTTAGAGGTAGAGAAAGAAAGACGAGCTATTCTCAGGCATGGATTTTACTGATAAATGGTGAATGGTAAATGCGGAAGATGGATAAATAGGAGGAGGGGCTCGAGCAGCTATGGCGTTTGAAGTGCAGCTATTGGGGCAGCAGCCAAGCAAGTATCGAGATAAGAGAAAGATGAGAGACAGATGGCTTTACAGTTGCACATTGAGAGTCACAGGGAGCTGAGAGAAACCGCAACTTTACATTTCAAAAGAGAGATAAAATCTAATCTCAACCATCCATCTTTCATAAACGGAGGAGATTCTAAACTTTAAAAATATTATCTGGATCGGACCCAGATAATTATTGGTATCTACATTTTGGATCCTGATCCAGGTATGGATCTAAAATATGGATCTGAAATTCGGATTTATATTTTGGATATTTGGATTTGAATAAAATCTAAATTTCGGGTTTTGGATTCGAATCGGGTAAATTCAACCCTAGATGGGACATATCTTCTCCACTGAAGTACCCAAAAAAAAAAAATACAAGAAGACTTTTTTTTGTGACAAAAAGAAGTCACAATCATTATTGAAAATCGGCAGTTGAAGATGCGCTATTGATTAAAACAATGGCCAAAATAAAATTTTCAAAATATTGTGATACTTCAATCTATTGGATTTCACATCTAATGGCTAAAAATAATTGTAACCTGCCTGTATCAAAAGTAAATAATCGTGTAATATGTAATCTATTACAAGATGAAAAAGTGTTTTGTGAGTCAGCGGACTCTCCAACACGCTGACTCACAAACATCCATCTCTAAGATGAATCTCCAACACTAAAGATTCCTATCCAATGGGTAGGAAATAATTTTCTAAAATTTTATTTTATTTTATTTTATAAAAGGAAGTATGGGTTACTTTCAAAGCAACACAACACTTTTAATACATTTTATTACCATGTTCTAGTTTGAATACATATTTTATTACCAAATCCTTCAAAATAGTAACAAATTTTGAAAAATCAAACTTCATATCATGATTTATTATCTTATTTCACTCTGAGATGCCCAAAATCCAACAATAAAGTATTATTTATTACCTTATTCCCCCAAATTGCCCAAAATAAAAAAATATTAGTAAGGAAAAGGACCGGATTTAGAAAAGAATCAAGCACAAGATCATTATTACCCTTGATCCAATCGAAGACATACACCATTAATAAAAAAAATTTCAGTTTAACATCGTTTTATTTTTATATCTTACTCCCCAAAGACTTATTAAAATCAAAGTAAAACCTCAAAAGATCATAGTAAAAATCAAAGAGGCAATTTACCAGTGTCCGGAGAGATAACGTGGGCTTGGGCCCATGGGCTAAGTCCACATCCACAAAGCCACCATATGCAGTCTTGTCCACATCCTCTTTCAAAGATGACCTGTATTTCTATTTTTCATTAGTTAATTATTGATAATAAAATTGAGGGAAAATATCTCTTTATCTTTTATTTTTAACTTCCATATCCCATGAGATTCAAGAATTGAAAATATTACTTGTAAGTAAAATGTCTCCATTGTTTATATCTTACAATCCCCAACAAAAGGTCTTCATTTTTTGTATCTTACAAACCCCTGAATATCTTTAATTATATATTTTTTACCCAAACAAACACTAAAATGATACCATATTCAAACTTCATCTCTCTCTAGAACTCCATCTCTCTCTCTTTGCTTCTCGGTGAGGTTACTAGCCAAGGGGTTTAACTTGAGCTCGAACACGAGCACACCTTTTTATGTGTGTGAGAGAGATGGTGTTTTAGAGAGAGAGATGGAGTTTTAGATAGAGATGGAGTTTGAGTTTTAGGAAGAGAGGTGGAGTTTTGAGAGAGAGAAACAATGATGCGAGAGAGAGATAGAGTTTTGAGAGATAGAGACGATGATGTGAGAGAGATGGATTTAGAGAGAGAGATAGAGTCATTCACATGTTGTTAAAATCCCTCTTGTTATAGTTTTTTGGGTCCTTGAAATAAACAAAAAAAAAAAGCATGACTCAAAGAAAGAAGATTTATAAATAAGAAACCATCATTCTTCCGATCAAATTTCAAATAATCCCTCAAATAACACATTAAAATGGGTCCTGAATTTTATCAAATTACTCCCAAAGCAGAAAGTTAAATTGTCCAATTTTCAGAAATGTTTTCATAAATTTCCCATTTTTATTTATCGGTGAATGCTTAGTAGGAAGTAAGTACAAATTACTATTTTATTTGGGTTGCGATGGGAAGTCATACATACCGGCTGTGATCGCTGCACATGAGCACCACATGTTGGTTTCCTGCCTTTTTAAAGATTCGGAAAAAAACCGCAGTTCGCTCTTCTTGATCTTTAGAGGCCAACACAAACAACCCAAAGGGTCCAAACCCACCCCCTTGCTTGGTGTTAGAGCAGCCCAGCTTGCTACAAACGAGCTGAGGCTGGGTCAAGCTCATTGAGTCAAGAATGTCGGCTTGGTCAAGGCTATGAAGCTCAAAGGTCACCTCTACATCAGCCTACAAGATATTGAAGCAATTATTGATTTTAAAAAAAAAAAAAGCACGTATACTATAATCCTGCGAGAGCATATGTTGCACATTTACTCCCACAATTAAAAGACCTACTTGGGATTTCAGTCTAAAATTTGGGAACCACCCAAGAATCATGATTATTTTCAACAGATAAATCATGAATTTTGGGTTTTTTAGGCACTTAGATTTTGCCATTTTGGAAATTGGATAGTATATGTTAAAATCTTGATACATTATTTCTCCCTAGTACATAGAGAGTTAAATTTGAATTTCCTTTTTTTTCTTATTTCTACTGAGGTAATTTTATGGGTTGAAGAGGTTATAAATCCCCCCAATTTGGGATCCTAAAACTACTCATATATTGGGTTTTACCCAATGGAGTAAATGGACAGTCGGGAGTATAAAATCTTTGGGCATTAAGAAAAAACCAATGGAAAACCAGCGTGCATCATTTTTTTTAATTGAAATAGCAAGAACTATTACCAACAAGAGGCAATAACAAAAGAGAAGAATTATCCATCACATGCATAACACAGTCTCCGATAAAATGGTGAAAATAAGGAGAAGACAAAAAAATCCTGTATAAAATGGTTGGAAAATTAGCAGCATAAAGGGCTTGTTTGTTTGCCAGAGGAATCTAACTAGACTACTATTTTTCTATATTGTTTATAAGAATGAAGCTCCCAGCCTTTCCTAATGCTTTGCTTTATATATTTTTGTGAGGAACCAGTTAGCTTTTCCCAGTGATCAATGTATGTCTATGAGAAAGCGGTACCTATTTAAGTGAAAAACACTTAACCATACATCTTAATATTAATACACAATATTATTTAACTAATCCAATATTATTTAACTAATCCAATATTAAATACTTAGTGAAAAGCAAAAGAAGCTACCCATAAAAAACAAACAAGAGAAGAAAAAATAACTAAAAAAGAACATGAAATGCTTTAAGAAACACAAGCAACCTGTGCAGTCGTGACACCAAGAACCTCCACCACTGAGCCACTGCCCAACACTTTGTCAATGATATCAACTTTCTTACCACGCAAGCTCTCAATCTCTACAATTGGCCATTGCACCAATTGCTTACCACTTTTATCTAGCCAAAGGGTCCTTGGAATTGCCTATTTCAAAAAAAAAAAAACATGAAAAAAGAAAGCAATATAAATGAAACAAGAAAAGAGCGAAAAAAACTACAAGAGTTAAATATGTTTATCAAAACTGTCATTAAATGTACCTGAACACCAGACCAGCCTTTGGCAACATCATTGTTGACACTATCAGATTCATTCATCCAACCCCATAAAATCCTCCTATGTTTTGCCCCATCAAAGAAGGTCTTTGATGCATAAAACTTTCCATAATCATAACGCAGACTGGTCCCATCATCAACTGATGAGTTATCTGGTACGTACCGGTCTTTATAAGGTAAATAGGTACCCACTGTATAATAGTCATGCTTCAGATCATCCAAGCTCACCTTTAAAAAGAGAATAAGTCATAAAAATGTATTTTTTCCGACGATAGCCCAACTTATTAAATAAACAATTGAAAACTAATAAGCTAAGATTTGTATCTTTGTTCTATTATACTATTTTGCGTTACTTAATGTAAGTGAAAGGGGAAAGTCTCAACTCATAACAATTATAACTGTTAATATGATGGATTCTTCTTTCCTATGAAGCCTGTTTTGACTTAATAAGAACCTTATTCACTCAAAAGGGAAAAAAAAAGGGGAAAATATCTTTAAAATTGTCAAATCACTTCAAAACCATCAATGAAGTAGTTAAATAAATTATTTTACTAAAAAAGTGGTTAATTTTAAATTTGTATTTTTCATTTAGATACCACTTCAAGAATTTTGTTAGAAAATACACAAATCTCCCTTATTACTCATATAAATGATAATATAATGATATCTGATATACTTAAGTCACTCAATCCTAATGGCTTAACTACTTAAATATCCTGAATGAATGTGCTTTTTCACTAAAAAAAAAACCATTTTCTAGGTTTAGAATTTTGGTAGTTTGACTCGCAAAAGTTGCTTACCAGCTCCATATTCCAAACTCAAAACATGTTTTCTGATTAAAAGGTCTTGTTTGCGATTTGGAACGGAGAACAAGCGGTTGCATTTTTGTTAAAATTAAATCAACTAAGCCAAAAAACATAAATGTCCTTGCTTATACCAAGATTCAAAAAAAAATGATAGTGAAATAAGGGTACTTAGGTAAACTTTAGTAACCACAACATCCAAATGCCCCCAAAAATATAATAAGAGCAAGTCGGGCACTTCCTAAGAGTATAATTGAAGACATACTTAAGTGTAATAAGTTTTCAAAAGTAATCATTACATTGGAAAATTAGCTAAATAGTCTATGTTATTGATTTTAAAGGTAGTTGATAATTTCATAATATTTTTCCTAAAGTTAAAATCAAGTTGATGCAACATGGAGAACTGGCATACATGTACAATACAATTCCTCACAATTCATCCCTTTAGATAAAGGGTAAATTGTACCAAACATGGCATTGATCGAAACTTGAGCGTGAAAGCTGTATGTTTTGTATCTTTCCATCTAGTGTTTTAAAAACCAAAATGTACAGAGCCATCAAGATCATAATTTAACATCAGGAGTTCTAATCTCATCAGATCCCTTTCATCTCTATCTATATCCAAGGAAAGAAAAAGAGAGCTCACCTTTAACACATGCTTGACGTGCAGGCCGTTAACTGAAGTATCAAGGCCCAATTGCCCTTTCTTTAAGACAGGGAAGAAATCGGGGCACTCCCACATGCCTGTGTCTTTTGAGGAGTGAAGAGGGTGCTTAGCCTTTACCCACCACACAAAGTCCCTGTTATTGTTTAGTAAATTATAATTCAAGATTAGTAATTTTTTATCTCTATCAATATGAAAGTATCCACCCTCCCTTGTATTGGTGGCTCTTGGGGAATTTATTTTTGCCCAAGTCAGGCAATACATTCTCTTAGCTTAGTGGAAAAGATTGTCAGACAATATTAAAAAGATTTTAGAACGCAACTTCTTTTTAGGACAAAGAAAAAGAAGAAAAACGAAAAGTATTTAGCAGAGTCTTTTTTCCAGTGTACTTTTTCATGGCTTCTTCGCAAGGCCAAGAAGATGCATATGCTAGGTAATGCTCAATAGAATGAATCTAACATTCAAACTTCATGTTACATATAACTATTTTTATAAGACGAGTTATATGCCCTCATCGTACGTGTAACTACTTTTATAAGACGATAGTTACATGTTCAATCAGAGGGACTTTGCATGTGGACAATCATGTTTCTGGAAAACCTCCTATAAATTTAATATCCCACCGCCTTTTGGGTGCAATCACCAAAAAGAAGGGAGCAAACAGCAGTCCAAAATTAAAGATCTAAGAAACCATACCTGCTTCTGTACAGCAAGGCCATGCCCCTTTTACCCCTCTTGTTACCAACAAGCACCCTCCAATGCCCATCTTTTCCAAGCCAAGCCGAAGTTGGATCCCTAAAAGAGCTAGCATTGAGCCCATTTGGGACAATGATCGGGTTATATTGAGCCGGCTTGACCCACTGTCTCAAAAGTGGGTCTGATAGGTTCTTCGGCAAGGCCAAGTTTTGGACTTGACGACCTTGTGTGTCTATGCCTGTATAGAGGATGACTGGCGTATGGTTAGGGAGAATAGTGGCTGAACCAGACCAACAACCCTTTATGTCGAAGGGAGCGGTTGGGTAAATAGCTGGCTCGAGAGGCTGCCAATTGACAAGGTCAGTAGACACTGAATGAGCCCAAACTATGTTTCCCCACACTGCACCGTAGGGATTGTATTGGTAGAACAGGTGGTACACTCCATTGTAGTACATGGGGCCTGAAATTCTCGATCAATGATCCATTAGATAGAAAAAAAGAAATAACAAGATGAGAATAAAAGAAATTATATTAATAGGATGGGGAGGAGAGTTATTTGATGAAAAACCACTTGAAGCAATGAATAAGAATAGAAGTGGATGGATACAATAAAAGCAATGGAAGAATTCTCCTTTTCTGTTTTTCTAATTCCAAGGGAATTCATTACTCTTATTGCAAGAAGACAAAAAAGAAGAACAAAGTGAAGGAGGATATTGCAATTCATTATAAACACAAAAGAAAAAGAAGAAGATTTTGATTGCATTCATTCAAAAAAATAAGATAGAAGAAAAATGTATCTTTACTTAAAACCAAAAAAAAAAGATGAAGGAGAAGAATGAAAATTTGATTCCTCCTTTAGTTTTAAATGAATCTTCTTTTAACAAACAAAAGAAGAAAATAATAATGGAAAAAAATGCAGATCCTCACTATAAAAAGAAGAAAGATGAAGACCCAAAAAAGGAAACTCCATAGATTTCTCTCATCCATAAAAAATCTCACCTTAATAAGAATGAAGATCAAAAACAAAATTATAGAAACAAAGCCTACACAACAAAAATACCAGGGAAAAAAATTGAAAGCTTAACCAACACAAATACAAAGAAAAAGAACTGCAAAAAATGGAGAAACTCACCATTGGGATCTGCAAATCAATGCGCAAGCACCCGAAATTATAGTTGAGGTTGCCACATATATCAAACAAATCAAAGTCAGAAAACTCAAGGAGCTCAAGTCCATATAGTCAAATAAAGTAGATAATATGATAGATTACAAAAAATATATATACCATTCATCCAGTTCTTGGGAGGCTGAAAGTGATAAGTTGTTCTGTGTTGTTGGTTCACATACGTGGGTTCCATTGTGTTGAGCTCTTCGAGGATATGGGAAGCCCCAGCAAAGCCATGAAGAAATACAAGGAGGTAACACAACAAGAGTAGAAATCTAGATGCAGCCATGCCTACCAAGCTATTTGACAGGATACAAGAACAAAACAATGGGTTCTTATAAGATTTAAAAAGAGAGAATGAGAAGATAAAAAGGTGAGGCTCTTTTTTTTTTATCTCTTTTCAAAACCACAAGAATTAATAGTGATCTGAATCACATAAGCAATGAATCCCAAAGATATTATACATACTTGGAATCCTAAGAGAAGTCAGAGCACTTTTTGATGGTTATTTTTTCTTTTGTTGTGTTGTATTCTTTGTCCATTTGATTTAGGTGGGATAACTGCACATTGATCAGGGATTTATTTTCTTGACCTATTTTTTTTTTTCATAGAAATTGCAAATCTTAGAATTACTTTTCAGCAGGAAAAAAGGGACTTATTTAATCGTACACATCCTTCCGAATTTAGTGTCTTATTGTAGTTATACAATTCTATCACGTAATTCTCAGTTCATACAATGTTATTTATGGATATGGAAGAATAATTTCCTCTCCGTGATTTGAGAAATTATGTAAAAAAAAAAAGAAATTATGTCAAAAAAATAATAATAATTTAATCAAAATACGGTTTATGATTGTTGGTCATAAAAGGCCGGATTACATCTCTTGAAAATAAAAGTTTGGTTCTTTAGGTATTTTGCATAAGGAAAGGTATTAGGTGGATATGGTGAAAGTATATATCACTAAAGCATTTACTTATGATATAAGGAAGTTAAAGGTTTTTTTTTACCATTAGATGTGGAATTAGGTGGCTAAGATTGCCTTTTGACTATTAGCTGTGAAATTAGGTGGCTTAGATTATGGGTGTATCTCTTTATCAGAATATCCAAGCGTTCTCCGTAGGTAAGCATGAGATCAACAATTCCCCTTTAGATATCTTAGAACTCTTTTAACGGATTTTTAGTGCTCCATGCCTGGATTACTTTGAAACCTGCTAATCATAATCACAACAAAAGATAAATTTCATCTGGTCCCCAACATAAGTGACCCAATGACACTTCTATATTGAATTCTCTACATGGCTTCTTTTCCATCTATATCTCTAAGACAAATGGCTAGTCTTTACTTGGTATTCTTCTCAATATCGGCCTACAATCCTTCATCTAAAATTTTTTCAGGATTTTCTTACAATAAGTTTCTCTATGTTATATTTCTTCTAATTTTTCATTCTCAGGACATATGGTGCCTCTCTAGGATCCATTGTATCAAATTATGCAATAGGAAGGCTTTTGTATCCAAGAGACGGTCATTGAACTATTGGCAACCAGCATGTCATTCACATGTAAGGAGATGAATACAACATCAATCCCACTGACCTTGACATATATGCCATAATCCTCCTAGTTTGGGAAAAAATTAGCTTTAACCAAGTCATTGGAATTTCATAAACTATTGTCGTGATGCTTGCTTTAGGCTATAAAAGGAATTTTAAGTTTTCATACTCAACTTTCCTTTCGCTTCTATATGGTGCCCTCAAGTTGCCTTATGCAAATTTCTTCTTCTAGTTCCCCATTCAGAACAGTCATTTTTCACGTCCATCTGATGGCGTTCGTAGTCAAAATGGCACTTTAGCTATCAAGATTCTAATGGATAGGAACTTTAGCCATGAGTGAGAAGGTCTCATCATCTAAACTACTAGAAACTTTCACTACAGAACTCAGGGCTAAATCCCAATTCAAATTGAATACAATTACAACTCTAAAGTCAACAACAAATTCATTTGTGAAATTGTGCAACAGTAAATTCATTCTAATTCAATTTTAAGTAAGGCATAATTGAGATATAACAAAGACCATGCATAATTGCAAAAAATTCAATCTCAGTGGAGCTTTGAGGAAAAAAATCGAGAAGCCTTGAAAGTACTTTATAGTTACCTCGTAAAGTCTATTGTACACACTAATGAAGCCCTCAAGTCCAGTTGCCAACTTTGTCAATGGTCACAACATCTATCAGAAGCCATTTTGAGCAAGATTCTATTTCATCAAGCACTTAGGGGCGCTAAGGGGAGCAAATGGGCTGATACTTTAATTTGAGGCTACTTTATCTGATATCAAATCTAGCAGTGAATCAAAGAATGGATTCAAGACTATATCAATTTCTTGTAGCATATATGTTCCATATGAAGCACAGATCCATATGCTAATGTAACATACTAAAAAGCAGCAGCAATAAATCTTTAATCTCATAATCAATGAGATCGTGATATGATCAGCAAAAACAAATCTCTAAAGATTTTGCAAACAGATTTATCAAAGAGTGATTGAACATGGATCCAAATATGTGCTCAACGTTGATTCAAAAAACAGCTGCATTTACATGATCATTTCCATATGAAAACCTCAATTAACTTATGTGATTTTATTAATCAAATAAATTTTACATCTATTTAACATGATCAAGATAAAATTGATCAAAATTTTGATCACAAAGAATCAGCAATATTTATCTAAAATTAATGACATTTGTTTCTCATGGGTGCTGCAGTTACTGCTTCAAAACCAGCAGCAAGACGATCAACATAACTAATGATCTTGATCTAAAATACTTTCTAAAAGAATTAAGAATTCTTAGACATATGATTATTGGAGCAATTTTGGATCAAGCCATGTGAAATTTCTAATCAACATTAATGAAAAAAGCTGCTGTTTCTCAGATACAAAAACAGCAGCAAATTGAATTTGTTTTTGCATGGTTTCTTAACATGATTCTGTTTCAAATCAATCAAAAGACCTTCCCAAACATGGACTTTCATCCTATAAATAATTTTCAGCAATATGATCATATAAAACATGATCAGATCATTAGTTTGGACTGGATTTTCTGCTGCAAAACAGAGCAACAGAAATTGGATTGCACCTGAACAGAAATTGCAGAGATCAATCCATTTTAGCATGAATTTTATTCACTCCAAAATTCGTGTTAACTCTTTTTAGAATTAGGATGCAGCAAACAATGATCATTTTCAGCTCAATCTCTCAAGAAATCACAATAGAATCAAGAAGGATAATCAGATTCTTCTGCCGCTGAGAAATCAGTAGTAAAGATGAAAGAGGTTTTGATTATCCTTTTCAATTTTATTCAAGACTGCATCAATTCCATCTTAAACTCAAGATGATTAATCTGATAAGTTCGTAAAAAATATACGGCTTATACATACCAGTCACAAATTCTTGATCATCATGTCAAACATTGATTCTAACCAGTGTGCAGGGACTTCGCCAAGTCCACCCTGACGTGGCCTGAGTATCTCGGCGAGCCCCTTGCCAATTAGGTGTGCAGCTGCCAGGCCAAAATAGATGCTAAAACATATACAAAAATGCAAAAAAACGAAAACACTATCATGATGGTGAGAAATACTTCTTTAGAAGACTTTGTTAATTTTTAAGATCATTCGGAAGCTTTCAAAACTTTCTATTTTTTTCAAAATTTCTGATATATTCAAGGTATAAATGTACTTTTTCCAGAATCCATCTTTTAAAGCTCATTTTGATCTGATATGGTCTCTTTATGATTCAAATCCTTTTGACTTTTTGTGATTTGTAATGATTCTTTTGTCCTCTGGGTTAGATATTTTTTACCCTTTTTAACCTTTGTTTTACTGAATTACTGACTCGGCTGAGTTACGGACTCGGCCCAGTCCATTTTCTGTAGATTCATTCTAATTTTCAACTTTTTGATCGTCAGTAAGCTACCTTAGATCAAAATTTCAGATTTATGTTAAAAAAAAAATTCAAAATTTCCGAGAGGAAGATCATAAATACCTTGCTGTAAATTTTGATCCTTTTTTCAGTTACAGTCTTTTGATCCTGGATCTTCTCCCGACCTAAATGTATTTCTGAACTTTCAACGATCTCACTCGTCATCATACGACAGTTTTTGAAAAAAAAAAAAGCAGCAGATTTCGAACTTTTTGTGGAGGGAAAGACGGGTAAGATTCACGTGCTGGCGTTTGGAGGGTCTTTAAACAAAAAAGCGTGTTTGACCCTTTTACAGGGAGATTCATGTGCGGGCTCTAGAGAATATTGGAGAAAGAACTCAAGTAAAAGATAAAAACTAGATAATTCAAAATTCAAATTCCCCTAGGATTATTAGGATTTCAGACAAAAGTCTTTCTTTTTTAAGAAATCCAAATCCCAAAAAGTAAACATTGTCCTTTCAGTTTCAAAGTAAGAAATCCAAAATAAGTGGGGTACCTCATCCCTTCAAATCCTCTCTCCCTATAAATGACCGGATCTAGTGAGGACAGAGGTGGAAAGGGCAGGTGGGCCGTAGGACTCACATGGGACCAACTTCCCATACAAGTAGGAGCCCCACCCATGTGTCCTCAATTTCTTCCATGCCCTAGAAACTTTTATAAATTATTAAAAAGTCCAAAAAATAATTTTAGAACATAAAAGGAATTTTTGATTGCCAAAAATTAATTTAATTGAACTAAAATTCATGGGACAATTAAAATTTGAAAATTTTATTTCTAGTGTTTCATAAATTTTCTAATAGCAGAAAAACACTTTTAAAAGAGGATAGGTACCAAGTGCCATGGATCAAAAATATGTTATAGGCACTCCACTGTGCTAAAAATCTATATCCCACAAACTAATCGAACAGGATATTTGGGCTTATAATTGACCCATTAAAGCTAGACAGTGAATAGCTTGACATATTAAAGTTGAACGATAAATAGTAGGGACATAAATGGTGTGGATTTGAAGTTTAGCTAAGGATAAATCATATCTTCAAAGAAGGTTGAGGTGTGGTTTGTATGGAGCCTAGGCTCTAAACAATCAAATTAGAGCCTACCTTCAAATAGTATTGAGAAATGTGGTTTCAATACTGAAAATCTTTGTGGTAGCCTTAAAATATATTTTGATCTTTATTTATAAAATTTAAAGCTTCAAAAATAGTGTAGACCGACAGATCTATGAAAATCTTGAAAATTGACTGTCCAAAAATGCGTTACAAAATACACTATTTTCAAAACTTGAAATTCATTTTTTTTTCATGTCCATGCATCTTGATATCGAGATGATCAATTTGAAGATATTTGGGCGTCAAAACAACCTCTCCTAGTGAATTTTTTTGAGGTAGGCTCGTATTTGAGTGTTTAGAGCCTCGGCTCCAAATAAACTTTTCTCAAAGAGAAATGCATACTATCACAATGATGGAAGGGGTACTCTCTTCAATACGTGTAAATGAGACTTGTGATTGACCCACTAAAGCTTGGACAATAAATAGCAGGGATACAAATCTAGCACGTTAGATTTCAAGTTTCCCTTTCGGATAGTCATATTTATAAAGCTGGACAATAAATAACAGGGACATGAATCTAGCACGTAGATTTCAAGTTTCCCCTAAGGACAGTCATATCTATAAAAATAAAGGTATAATATCACATTGATGCTAAGAGTACTCTCTTCATCACATCTAAACAACCCACCTCGGGCTATTTCCCAAAAAGTAGCTATCAATTGTAAATGCATGTGGTAGTTGTTAAGGATTTGGCTCTCTCTCGCAAGCTTTCAACCACCAGCCTCTTTACTCACAAACATCATCAATGAGGATCTCCACAACCTGCCCTATAATAGAACCCTCTCCATGGCATATGCGTAAGGGTAAGTGTTTCGGAATTGGTCCCAGATCTAGATCACTCAACTTAAGTCAATTAACCAACGAAATCATAAAATATTATATTAGTTTCCATGAGGACCACACACTCCAATTGGAGTACATATCTATTATGATCATTATTTTTACCAGCTTTGAAGGCCTTTAAACGCCCCAAACCCCGATAGAATATTGAAAACCCAAAACTAGTATAATACAACATTGGCCAATATTATAATGGTTTATAATGGAAAAGGAAATAGTATTTGACGACAAAATTTTTGCTAAAATAAGTATTTCAAAACAACTGTGTTTTGTCTTATGAATTATTTTTGTCCTATAGCTTTTTTGTGGCTATGAAGATCATTATTGTTATGTTATCAGGAGATCTTTCTAGGAAGGGCTAGTATGTTCATTCCGGTACTTGAGAACAACACCAGCGTTCTTTCTTCGGTTCTTTTTGGGTTTGTAAATTTGATGGTACTATGATATTTATTATGATGATGTCAGGTTATCATGTGATGATGAGTTACTATAATCGATATTTTCTAGAAGCCTCTAATTTTATGTTGCCTCGTTCTCTCTACTCACTCATTTCATCCAAAAACCATTACATTTATACATTATGTTCTAACTTCCTATTACCTAAGGTATTGTCCCATAAGATTGATTCGCCCAAAAGTGTGCTCGAGGAAAATTAAAATGGAAAAGATTCCAAAATGCGCAAACCATAGAACACCCAAATGAGGGAACCGAAATCACTTTTGATCATTAAAGATCATCATATTTTTCACTAAAACTTAGGTTCGAGGAGGAGTTCCAAGAAAAGTAGGGGTGGCAATGGGTCTCGTACAGGTTGGGTCCGGCTGGACTCGGACCCAAACCTAGGCCCAAATAGTACTCGGGTCTAGGTTTTGAACCTGGTCCCGACATGTCATGTCCAAAAGTTTGACCCATACCCGTACTTATTGGGTCTCGGGTCTATCTCGTTGGGTCCTGGCTCTGGTCGGGTCCATTGCCACCCTAACTATGAGTTTTTTTTTTTTTTTTCTATCTATTTGCCCTCTTTTTTTTACTATCATATACCCATATTATTGGCAACAAGGTCACAATCATTAGCCATTAGATTTCAAGCCGTATGATTTGTCGTTTAATAGATAAAGACGACATGAGTTCTTATTGTGTATGATCATTAATATGGCTTAAACTATTTTATCTCCAATAATTTGTGAGTACAGGTCGGGTCCAACCATACCCAGAC